CCGCATATACCTACGAAAGGATTCCCTGTGCCGTGTCGTCGTTATAGAGTAAATTAGAAGGCTACTACTCTGTAACACTACTATTACAAGATACTATATCTCAAAATAAATATAGGGAGCTGGTATTCGTACTCCCCACAATGGGAATTTTCGATCATCACGTGATATTTCTTATGCGTGATTGGTTGATATTGTATACCATACTATCATGTTAAATGTACTAGAAGCTTATATCGTTTTGCAGACAATTTGTATTTTCTTAGCAAATTATAATCTAAGGGTACATGGCATTATAAAACTAAGTCGTTTTGTTCGATTTTTTTCAAAAATGGCTTTTTTAGCACATTTTCTATTTATTTCTTCATTTACTTTTTGAGGTTCCTTTGAAAATTATCTCTTGTACTACCTTAAATTGTCATGTTTAAATATTAATCATCTTCGAACTTTTAATGTATAGATTTGTATTGCTAACATAACTCAGTAATTTTGAGGTTAAGAATGTGAAGATGATTGGGCATTTATGTACTGGCAATTGAGTAAGGGACAACTTAAAGTTTTCTGATATATAGAATATTTATTAAGACTTTTAAATACATATAATACAATTATATTGATTCTAATCTAGAATCAATTCTAATGTATTTAATTATTTTGTAAAAAAAAATAAGAATCAATTCTAATATGATTAATGATTTCTAATATGATTAATGATTAAAATAATATGACAGGGTAAAACCCGCCAAATTTCGGTTAAATCTGCTTGCAGATCACATTAAGGTGAAATTTGCATTAGTATATAAAAAACACTATGTTTAAAGCGAGTTTTACTAGAATTCAGTGCTGGTTTTACTCTGACATAAAAAAATTATTATAGAATCGATTCATATCCCTAATTTGAAAAAAATGTTTTTTAATAATAGAATCAAAAAAGTTTTAAATATACATATGGCTTATAGTAAGAATCCTTACTATATTATTCCTTAAAAATGCTCTGAAACATTATTTCAGATAATTATAAATTCATTTATTAATTGATGGAATAAAATTCACAAGACAATAAATATCTACTTACCACGTACAAATCATTCTATTTAATAAACAGCCTTTATTTGAAATTTTTGTTAGTTTCATTAACTTTTAGTTTCACTCACTTTAATTTTACAAGCCTTGCTATGTTTCACTTGTTTTACCATCTTTATATTTTGCCTACTTCGCCATATTTTACCAGTTTTGCTGTTTTGCTTTTTTGAAATTTTTGGCAAAAGTTAAAACAAGGATTTCATTATTTCAACAGCACAAAACCTGGAAGTTTCACCTAACAACTCTAGTTGAAAAATATATAAATCTCAATAATTCAATTAGAGATTTGCCTTTAAGTAACAATTCGATGTTATTTTCTTTAAATATCAATCAGAATTTCTAAATAAAATATTAGTTAAAAAAATTCAAATAAACTTAAACCAAAAATAAAAAAAAATACTAATTTATTAAGCTTGCGAAAATAAAATTGCTCTAAAAAAGAATCTTCAGAGAAACTTAGCTAGATTTTTTTATATACAAAATTTTGCCTCTACTTAAAGTAATAACAATGCTTTCTCTATCTCCATTAGTAAAAAACAGTGCAGATAAGCTGTTTCAGTATGCCCAAACATTTGCAAACTCACAAGGTTATGCATTAATAAAAAAAAGAACTTGAAAAGACAAACATGGTAAATTAAAAAATATGGAATTACATTGTGATCAAGGTGGTATATACAATAATTCCTTAAACTTAACTGAAGAAACATGCAATAGACAAAGAAGCACGCGGCTAATTGATTGTCAATTTGAATTGTATGTGGCTTAATGTAATAGGTTATGGCATCTAGAAGTTCGTAATCCTGAACATAATCATGATCCTTCAACCAACATGTCAGAACACCTAATTGCTCGAAGACTTACTAACCAGCAGTTAGAAACTGTTGCGGTGATGACTAATGCTGGCTCACAACCTCAAGAAATTATTTCAACCCTATGGCAAGGAGATGAATCAACATTAGTCACTAATAATGATATATATAATGCATGTAAGTAACTTTGACAGGAGAATTTGGCAGACCATACCCCAATTAAAGCTCTTGTAGATGAACTTCAGAAAGGAGATTTTTTATATGATTATGAATATGATAATAATGGGGCTGTTACTTATCTGTTTTTTGCTCATAATAAGTCTATTACTCTTACTTGTCTATATGCTTCTTATGGATTGTATCTACAAAACTAATAAGTTCAAAATGCCTTTATTAAATATTATTGGAATAACTAGTCTCAATACCACCTTCTTCTCTTGCTTTTTCTTTATGAAAGGTGAAGATGAAGACGATTACAAATGGGCCTTGACACGTATTGCCAGATTATTTAATAAAGGATCAATGCCTGGAATTATTGTGACTGACAGAGAGTTAGCTTTCATGAATACTCTTGAGATAATCTTTCCTGAGTCAACAAATTTGCTTTGTGTATAGCACATAAGCAAAAATATCTTAAAAAATTGTAGATCACAATTCCCCAAAGATACTAGAGACAATGAAGACAATGAGTGGAAAAATTTTCTCAAAAGATGGAATGATATTGTTAGCTCAGAAACAGAAAATGAATTTGACCCAAAATGTGAAAATTTCTGTTCCACTTACAGTAATAAAGCAAGCATTATATCCTATCTCGGGGAATCGTGGATGTCGTGAAAAAAGCAGTTTGTAAAGGCTTGGACAGATAAAGTTCTTTATTTAGGATTAACAACGACTTCTCGCATTGAAGGTTCACATGCAGTTCTTAAAGCATACTTACAAATGTCAACAGGTGACCTTTATCGAGTTTGCTCAATGATTACTTTGGCTATAACTAATCAAAAAAAAAAAATTGATTCAATGATTGAATCAGATAAAATCCACATTCTAATTTTTTCGCACAACAACATTTTGTATGCAAATCTTAGGGGTAAAGTCTCAACCTTCACCCTCAAAAAAATAAATAAGCAATATTGGAGAATTATATCACAAGAATTATTACCACCATGTACTAGATCATTTTCAAGAACCATGGGCTTACCTTGTGCTCATTACATTCAAAACCTCGATACCAATCAAAGCATACTACTTGAAGACATCCATAAACATTGATGGATTCAGAGATACCTACCAGTACCACAAACTGGAGAAAACATTTCCAATCATGAAAATTTGCTACAGCCTCTCTTGTAGAACCTAGAACAAAGATATCAAGAGTGGCAAGAACATCAACAAACAGTGGTCAGAACAATATTAAATAGCCTAATTGATTTCCCAACAACGGTTTTACAAGACCCTAATACAGTTCGTACTAAAGAACATCCTTCTGGTGCTACAAATCGTCAATCAACTAGCACAACAAGAAGAGATCCTTCTGGTTTTGAATTTATTGATGCCAAAGTAAGGAACTGTTCTCTTTGTAAACAGGCTAGGCATAATATAATGCCTATACTTGTCCAAGTAGAAGTAGTACTTAATAAATAAATCTTTACAATTGTTTAATTGAATACTGTAATGGTGCAATTAATTGTACTTAACTCTTAAAATAAATTCCAAATTCCTGTCTAAATAGAGTGGCAAGGAATAAAGCGTTAATTTGCTTTATAGTTAGGTAATGAAATGTTATTAATTGTAGCATTCAAAATATTTACCTGTAATAAAGTCATCCTGGTTCTTTAACTAGTAAATCTTACTTGAAAGTGTGTGGTTTAAGATTTTGGGATCTACCATCTTGATTGCTCTTTTGGTAATACCAGATACGTACGTATGTATGTATGTACATATCTGTCATATCAACCAATCATGCATAAGAAATGTCACGTGATTACGTGATGATTGAAAATTCCCGTTGTGAGAGATACGAATACCAGCTCCCTAAATATATAGTATTATATCAGCTTTTAAAAAATTAAATACACAATTTTCTTATTCAATTATTGCCCAATTTTCTTGAATAGTTTTTAAAAGAAGTTTGAAACTTCAATATAAATACAAAATCACTTAAAAAATTAATTTCAAACTAAAAAAAAACAAATTTTATTATTTTAAAATAAAACAAAAAAATTTAAAACCAAACTATAATATTGATTCTTTTATTTAAAAATAGTTCTTACAAAACTATATATTTTGACTAACAATACTTTTATATCTACTTTATAATTTCTAATATATTATTATTATTATTATTTTTTTTTAATAACACTGCCTCTTTATTACTCATTAATGTGGATACATTATACAACACATACTTTTACAACAGATATTCAGTATATCATTAGTAATCTCTAACTTATTAGTATCTGCTATACTGCCATCACCAAGTTCGTATTTCAAGCCACCTTTTGTGGTGCTGCCGTAACCCAGTCTGTATCTTAAGCCATAACCTTTCTAATTAGTTATCAACAACTGCAAATATCCCAGGTTCCTTCCCCTGCGGTATTACAGTTCCCGAATATCCATAAACCAACTTTAAGTGAGATATACCAAATCTTTCAGCCCAGTATAGTTGTCATAACTCCTATTTACCTCACTATTGGTCTACATGGTGTCTGTAGTTTGCTTACCCCGACTCCAGGTGCCTCCAGATTATTGGATAGTGGAATATTTCCATTTTGCTAGATATCACATGTCCCACTAGTGTTTCTATGAACCTAAACTGAACTAAACTTTGGTCAAGTTTAGGTTTAGTTCAGTTCAATCAAGTTCAGTATTGAACTTTTAAGTCAAGTTCATGTTCAGTTCAGGTTTAGTATTGAACTTTTAAGTTAGGTTCATGTTTAGTTCAGGTTCAGTATTAAACTTTTAAGTCAGGTTCATAACAGTAAAAATATGTTTACTAAATTTTTTTTTTTGTCTTTAAAATTTCCGAATTTAGAGTTTTTCAACCAAACCTTTTTTCTTTACTAAGTAAACCTTTTTCAACACTTAAGTAAAGTTGTAGATGAGTTTCTTGCGATTAAAATAGCGGTTAAATCATTAAAATCGGCCCAGTAGATTGTAAAATATAAGTATTTTTGTCTTTGCAATTATATGTTTTCTTCTTTATACAAATAAAGAAGAAAGCATATAGTCGTGAAGACTAAAATTCTTATATCTCGCGATCTACTGGGCTGATTTTAAAGTTTTAAATATCATTTTGATCGCAAGACAATACTCTACAACTTTAATTTTTTTTTTTAAGAGTCAAAGCAGTCATACCAAAACTTTATTACTTAAGACTAAGAAAGAGCAATTCATATAAGTGAGATTACAATTTGATTATCTAAATTTTATGGCCAATACCGCCTTATACTAAAGTGTAATTCACCCGGTTTCCAATTGGACCTATGTATGACCTGCCAAGTGCAGAAGCAGCCTCCTTGTTTTTTCTAGATCTATCTCAGATTTCGAATCTACAAATCACTGACCGGAATCTACTAGCCCGTCATGACTACCCATCCCTTCTTGAAAACTTTTTCTACCTAGATCTGAGCAGAATAGTTTATCTCTTACTTTTCTATAAGGGAATACCATATATTAAATTTAACAAAGAAAAACAAAATTTAGGAAAGAAAGAGAAAAAAAGAAAAGAAAAGAAAAAAGAAAACATATTAAGAATAGTATATCCTAAATCTGATTCCATCATAAAGGGAAGAAGATGAAAAAAGCACAAAAAGGGACAAGGTATTATAACATACATTTTTAAACAAAAAAAAAAAACGAAAGGAGTGCACTATTATAACCTGTGCAAGGCTAAAAAAATTATATACTAAATGCAACGTTTGTATATCTCTATTGTAAAGCTTTGTCTTAACTTTGAGGGTTTCTTTCTGACCATTTGCCATACTCCAGATAGTTTCGCTCCAGCCCGTCCTAATCCGTATCTCAAGCCAGATGCTGCCACCGTCTGTAGACCCATATCTCAAGCTACTTGCTACTGCCATTAGGAGTATCTTCTTCCTTATTAGGGGTTTCTTATTCAGGGCCCGATCCTGTATAGAGGCGCCGTATTCATAAAACACGTGGTTGCAATCTAATAGGCTATCTAAATTTGGAATATAAACAATGCCGATCTTTTGGAGAGAGTAAGCCAAATTTCTACTTTTTTTGAAAAAATTTTGAAAAACTGGCAGGAGAGTGGAAGTGAGTAAAAGAGGAGTCACTTGTTCGAATAAAGAAGTGTGGCTTGAGAATGGCAAGTTCCTCACTATTCCCCAGTTATTTTGCAACAAGTTGCTTTGTCGACAGAAAAACACTATAATCCCTACTAAAATTTCATATACAAGGGCACACTTCCCAGCCAGTTATCTTGTATAAAGATGCTTTCGGCTTGTATGTCAAATATATAAAAGAGTCCTTATAAAAGCACAAGAGGTTGACTTTTATAAAAACCGCACTGTTGTCCACATACTACAGGTCTTTTCTACTTCTCCAGTGTCTAAACTTGACTTTTCTTTTGTAGGAAATTTTGGTCCAAATAATCATCGGGAAGAGTTCTGTATATTTTTTTTTTCTACAACTTTAATTAGAAGCTAAAAAGAGATTTATTAAGTAAAGGTTTAAAAATCACAATATTTTTATAATTTTATTAATAAAATTATAAAAAATATTAAAATCCACAAAATTATATTAATTAAATTTACCTTTATGCTCTAAGTAAACTAGTTCCACACATAAAAATACATTATATCGGCATATATTTACATTATAATTTTAAATTTTAAGTGAAAAGATATTTAATTTTAAAATTTTGATCAAAATTTCAAAATTAAGCATAATTCTCTTAAAATTTAAAATTATAAAGTAAACGTATACTAATATGATATATTCTTTTGTGTAGAACAAGTTTACTTAGAGCATGAAGGTAGAATTAGATAGTAAAATTTTGTGGATTGTAATATTTTCTATAATTTTATTAATAAAATTATAGAAAATATTAAAATACACAAAATTATATTAATCAAATCTACCTTTATTCTCTATCTACACATAAAATTACACCATATAGGTATACGTTTACCTTATAGTTTTAAATTTTAAGAGAAAGATGCGTAATTTTGAAATTTTGATTAAAATTTCAAAATTAAGCATCTTTTCGCTTAAAATTTAAAATTATAAGGTAAACATATGCCGATATGATGTATTTTAATGTGTAAAACCAGATTACTTAGAGCATAAAGGTAGATTTAATTAATATAATATTGTGGATTTTAATATTTTTCATAATTTTATTAATAAAATTCTGGAAAATACTAAAATCCACAAAATTGTATTAATTAAATCTACCTTAATGCTCTAAGTAAACTGGTTCTACGCATAAAAATACATCATATCGGCATATGTTTACTTTATAATTTTAAATTTTAAGAGAAAAGATGCTTAATTTTGAAATTTTGATCAAAAATTCAAAATTA